CACACCCCTCACACGTTTCGTGGCTCCATAGGGAGCTCCACCGAAGGCCCCAGTGCCCGCGGCCGCATGCGTCCCCCACACCCATTTCGGCACACCCCTCACACGTTTCGTGGCTCCATAGGGAGCTCCACCGAAGGCCCCAGTGCCCGCGCCCGCATGCGTCACCCACACCCATTTCGGCACACCCCTCACACGTTTCGTGGCTCCATAGGGAGCTCCACCGAAGGCCCCAGTGCCCGCGCCCGCATGCGTCCCCCACACCCATTTCGGCACACCCCTCACACGTTTCGTGGCTCCATAGGGAGCTCCACCGAAGGCCCCAGTGCCCGCGGCCGCATGCGTCCCCCACACCCATTTGCACACCCCTCACTCCATAGGGAGCTCCACCGAAGGCCCCAGTGCCCGCGGCCGCATGCGTCCCCCACACCCATTTCGGCACACCCCTCACACGTTTCGTGGCTCCATAGGGAGCTCCACCGAAGGCCCCAGTGCCCGCGGCCGCATGCGCATTTCGGCACACCCCCCCCACACCCATTTCGGCACACCCCTCACACCGCCCCTTCGCATGCGCTCCATAGGGAGCTCCACCGAGCTCCACCGGCCCCAGTGCCCGCGGCCGCATGCGTCCCCCACACCCATTTCGGCACACCCCTCACACGTTTCGTGGCTCCATAGGGAGCTCCACCGAAGGCCCCAGTGCCCGCGGCCGCATGCGTCCCCCACACCCATTTCGGCACACCCCTCACACGTTTCGTGGCTCCATAGGGAGCTCCACCGAAGGCCCCAGTGCCCGCGGCCGCATGCGTCACCCACACCCATTTCGGCACACCCCTCACACGTTTCGTGGCTCCATAGGGAGCTCCACCGAAGGCCCCAGTGCCCGCGGCCGCATGCGTCACCCACACCCATTTCGGCACACCCCTCACACGTTTCGTGGCTCCATAGGGAGCTCCACCGAAGGCCCCAGTGCCCGCGGCCGCATGCGTCCCCCACACCCATTTCGGCACACCCCTCACACGTTTCGTGGCTCCATAGGGAGCTCCACCGAAGGCCCCAGAGGCCGCAGCATTTCGGCACACCCCTCCACGCGTGGCTCCATAGGGAGCTCCACCGAAGGCCTCAGTGCCGCCGCCCGCATGCGTCACCCCCACCCATTTCGGCACACCCCCCGCATTTCTCGCACGGCAGGGTCATCACCACGGTGGCGTGCCAGGGGCGCACCATGCGCGAAGGCGACGGGGCGGGGGAACGGCGCTCCGGGGGCGGCCAGACCTCCGGGGCGCGAGCAGTCCGCGGCCAGACCATCTCTCGGTCCTGTGGACTCTCGCCCTGGGCCGTCGGCTGCCCGGCGCGCTGCTCCCTCGGTCGACGTCGCCCAGGCGTGATCCTGGATTGCGGCCGCCACGAGGTAGGGAACGGCAAGAAGGAGGACGACGACTGGTGGCTGGAGCTCTACGTGCTGCTCTCGCGCGCCACGCGCCACGAGGACCTCCTGCTCATGCGGGCGCCGCGCATCGAGTTCTTCCTGGCAGGGCCGCCGCAGGGCTTGCGGAAGCAGCTGGAGCAGTTTGCGGCGCGCACGAAGCGGTGCAGGAGGGAAGCGACGGCCCTCGCCAGGGAGCTCGGCTTCACCGAGTTCATCCGCGAGGCCTGACCTGAGGAGCGTCTCCCCCGAGCCGCGCCTTCTCTCGACTGCCCGACTAATTGTTTGGCCTCGCGCCGCGGACGACCCGCGCGCGTCGCTGGGACCCTCTCGGGGCGACCAGCGCGCGTCGCGGGAACTCCGTGCTGCGGGGGGCCCGGCGCCTCGTTCGCCCGTCGTCGCTCTGCCCAGCGGTCAGAGACTTGCCCGCTATCAGCCAGCCAGTTAGCTAGTCAGCTCTCTCTGCTTCGCGCAGCGGACGACCCGCGCGCGTCGCTGGGACCCCGCCCGGGGCGACCAGCGCGCGTCGCGGGGACTCCGCGCTGCGCTGCGCCCGCAGCCTTGGATTTTGGAGTGCGCGGGCAAAGAGGAAGGAAAAAAAGAGCCGAAAGCGGGCGCGATCCTCGCAGGAGGCGTGCCGACATGGGCGTCGCGACGTGCGGACGCTGCCGTCGGGGTTCCCGCGGAAGCTGCCTGCGGCGGCCACGCCCAGTGTCACGTGTGTTCGGACAGGCATGCTCGACACTTACACTAGGCGGTTCCATGATCGCATTCATGCAAATATATTCACTCGCGCGCAGACCCATTCATACTCAGATTCCCTCGCGCTCTGACTCACCCGCGTTCTTTCTCTCGCAATCAGATCTATCGTATTCCTTTGCGTTGTGTACCCCGCCACATTTCGGCACACCCCTCATGCGGTTCGTGGCCCCATAGGGAGCGCCACCGAAGAAGATACTCACAATTGCGATACTCACAACTGCATATGGTTGGGTCCTTCGCCCGGATAATTTGTTTTGGCCCGCGTGCTTGCCAAAAACGGCTGCACGCACATCGGTTGCTTTAAAACCCTGGCCC